TGTGGATACAGCTTGTATGCTTATCTGTGGATATTGTTCATATACATATCTGTTGAGAATGTGGATATAGCTTATATGCTTATCTGTGAACGTGGGATATAGTTTTTATACATATCTGTTGAAATGATGATAGAGCTAATATGCTTATCTGTTGAAAAGGGGAAAATGAAAAGTAACTTGGACTCATCAGTCGTATGACATAAATATGTGATTTATGTGAATGTATCAGTGTTGGCCATCTATCAATCGCTAATAGTCATTGTTCATGGTTGGTTTAGTGTATTTCTACTGGGCTGTGGCTCACCCTATATGGGAATATCATTTTCAGGTATAGGTAGCATGCCACCTCCAAGGTCATAGCTTGGGAGGCTAGAGGCGAGCAGATTGTTGTTGTTTTAGTTCTTTTGATGTATTACATGTATATTCAAGCCGAGGGCTTAATGTGTAGATGAGTTAGCACTCTTTTGTTGTAACCAAGTGTTAACTTGGAAAGCTGTAAGCCGTAGGGCATTTTACTTTTGTTGTTAACATGTAATTCATTTGTAATGAAACTCTGATGAACAGAAGGTTATGGTTATTTCATATGTCAATGGATGTCTTATTTGATGAGTTTAAGGTTATTATTTTGAGGGCGTTACAACTTGGTATCAGAGCGTACCGGGTTCGAATACTTTGGGTACGTGGGAAGTGATTAGTATCACAATGGGTTTGTCTCGCTTGATAGAGACCTAGATGTAGTGTCATATGCTATGTGCTTAATTGATAACATGCTTATGTGTTTATTTGGGTATGGAATTTAGTTTCTAGGATGTTGATTGGATCCTTGGGTTTCTGGGAGTCTTGTTGGAAAGGCACTTGATCAATGCCGTTTCTAACCGGAACTCTAGTAATGCCTCGGGACTATCATTATCCGGAGATGAAATTCGTAAGTGCTTATGTGTTTATGTGCTTACGTGGAGTGAATTACAGTTGTCCATGCATTAGGATGTGAGTGTTTAGTTTCGGCACATTTGTGAATGTTCTAACGTTCTGTATCACCTTTATTAGGATGTCAGGACGAGGAAGAGGTGCTAGGTGTCACGACCCGAACCCGCCCCTATGGGTTAAGGACATAACCGGCCAGTAATCTTGAGATTACCTACGGCCTCAGACCAAAACAGACATAACTTGTCAGAGTAAAGGGGCCAAACGGAAGCAATAAATAAAAACTTTGTCCATAGAGCCGTGCTTATATGCACATTAACAGACCATATTCAGTTACGTTAATAACCCACATCAAAAGTACAGTTCCACAAAATTCATTACAGACAGGATCATCCAAAACGAGTCAACCTATGACAGACTATTTACAGATGTACATAAAGTCCTTGCCGGCAAGACAAACTATAATTACATAGCAAAAAGGCAAGGGTAGGTCTTAAGAGTGAGACGCAAGGCTGACTTCCGCAAAACTCGGTTGTTTTCCTAGCAGACTTCACTGGGGCTGGGTTTGGACTTCCCTTGGCTCACCTACAAACACATGAATGAGCGTGAGCGATAGCCCAGTGAATAATATCAAGTATGACAGTTACATAACAATATGTGGAACAACATGCTCCGAACGGCCTTGGGCCCAATTCATACTTCTAATTAGCAAATATAAACGACTATACGAAATGCAAATCAAGTAACTGTAGTTTCAACATTCTGGACTTTGGCCCATTTGGGTTTCCATTCATGGCAAAACGGCCTTCGGCCCATTCACTTATGTCAAAACGGCCTTTGGCCCACTCTTTCATACCAAAACAGCCTTCGGCCCACTCATTCATGACAGAACGACCTTCGGTCCATTCATATTCATCTAAACGACCTTTGGTCCATTCATATACATCAAAACGACCTTCGGTCCATTCATATACATCCAAACGACCTTCGGTCCATTCATATACATCCAAACGACCTTCGGTCCATTCATATACATCCAAACGACCTTCGGTCCATTCATATACATCCAAACGACCTTCGGTCCATTCATATACATCCAAACGACCTTCGGTCCATTCATATACATCCAAACGACCTTCGGTCCATTCATATACATCCAAACGACCTTCGGTCCATTCATATACATCCAAACGACCTTCGGTCCATTCATATACATCCAAACGACCTTCGGTCCATTCATATACATCCAAACGACCTTCGGTCCATTCATATACATCCAAACGACCTTCGGTCCATTCATATACATCCAAACTGCCTGGGGAGATTCTACGCTCGAATCTCCGCTCGACGGACGCTCGACGCCCACTCGAGCTCGAGACACAAGACTCCGCTCGAGCGCCCAGTCCTCCGCTCGAGCGGATTGTAAAACAGTGCAGAGATACAGGATGCTCGGATTCCACGCTCGAGCGGCACTTACCCCGCTCGAGCGGAAGTGCAAAATATGGGAATTCCAGATTGCACCTCCAAGCTCAAATTCACATTTAAATACATCAAAACCAATCCTCTTGGGCCCATTTTCTGGAAAACATTTATAAACACATAGAATAACATGGTTCAAAGCTCAATTTGAGAAATCAAAGCCCAAGGGTGTTTAATTCAAACTCAATTTCAAACCATTTTTCAAGAACAAGATGAACATGCAAACATGCATGTATTCAAATCATTTTGAAGCTCCAACTTGATGCTCTAAGGAGCCAATCTTTTCAAAACATGGTGAAATCATGGACTTAAACATAATTATGAACATGCATGTAACCTTTTGCCATGAAAACAACTCAAACATCTATATTACAAACATGTATGCATGAAATGAGCTTCAAATCAACAACAATAAACCAATTCTAGACTTAAATCACTAGAGGCTCAAGAATCTTGCATGAATAAGCTTAAACACAACAAAGAGGGTTG